GCTACATTACTATCACACCAGCACCTGTCCTTTTCCTAACGCACTTTCGTATACACACATAACATTAAATTAGGTTATAGATTTTCAATACAGAAGTTCTAAAGCAGTTTACTAAAACTTTCTATGATGTCTGCACTTCAGAAATTAGTCTGTACAAGGCAGAAAGTTAGGTGCAGCTTTAGAATCTACAGGAGCATGATTCTCTTCTTTAAATTGCCAAATATGTTAGGTTTTGACTAAAGTTTGATCAGTTTTAGATTTCTTTTCTTAGTGTCCTGCAAAAGCATTTGGCCTCCCATCTGCTGATCATGGTCTCTCTCTGCTGATCAGGCGCTCTCTCTCTCTCTCTCTCTCTCTATGAGCCGTGATCCCTGACAACTTCACCAAACTCAAAACCCTCATTCCTCCCCTTTCATGATGGCTCTCCAATCCCATCAAGCAAGGTCTGAGCTTTCATTTCCCCCACTACCTCACAATTATCCAGGCTATTTCCAAGATTCCTGAGCTGTAACTTCCACCTGCTGGTTTACAGGGCTGGAAGCTAGTCAACCTGTAAAATGGGCCTGGTGTCAGATTGGGAAAAATAAAAATAACTGGATTGTGTTCCTGTGACTACATTTGGCAAAACTGTCAGACACCAGCGTAGCAGGATTTTCCTTGGCTTCACAAGGACCTGAACTTGCTTCACCTCCAGGAAATTTTGTGCCTAGTTTTCGCTGAGAATTCCGTATAGATCTACTGAAACAAAACAGGCTAAATTCCCAGAGAAGTGTGATAATTCCCCTTCACGTCAAAAATTCCCATTGGAATTTTTTGCTATGGAGAAAATAGATGAAATCCCAATGGCGTTAAAGCTTGTCCTACTTTCTGATCTGCCAACTAGAGATCTGCGTGACTTAATCTTTTGTTCTGTTGGAATTTTGAAGCATACACAGGTGAGATTAATCTCAACTCTAGCATTATAATCAAGCATGGGTTTTTTTTTATTAACCAAAGTGATTTTCTTTTTTCCTTTGGGCAGAGTGTTAAAGGGCTTCCAATATATTTCTTTTTCTGAAAATGTGTCTAGACCCGAAACATCAGCTTTCCTGCTCCTCTGATGCTACTTGGCCTGCTGTGTTCATCCAGCTCTATACCTTGTTATCCCAATATATTATTCCTTGTTTTGCACTACAGCCAAAATGCAACATCATCCCCACCCATTCAGAATAATTAATGAAGTATAGTACATGGTACATTCAGTATCCCTGTGCTTCAAGAAACAGATTGAGACACAAATGTCAATAAAAGCCCTGAATCTTCAACCAATTTCCGCTGAATGTAGCTCCCTGAAGAGGTGATGTGAGGGAAATGAAAATTGCTTGAGAAACTCAGCAGGTTTGGCAGAATCTGTGGAGAGAAAGCAGAGTTAATATTTCATGTCCAGTGACTGTTCTGCAGAATATTGAAGGGGTGGAGAGTAAATGGTATGGTGCAAGTACTGAATTAACCCTTTTATCTATTTGATATCAAATATGTAAGGTTTTTTATTTCTCACTATTGTATGGTGAAAGTGTAAACAGCAAGAAAATGGTCAGCTCCATTGTCCATTGTCATAAATTTCCTCTAATTTCTGATAAAAAGAATACATTGGTCAGATTTGTGAAATAAATGGCATAGATCGCTGATAGCTGAGCGGTTTTGAGTGTGGACTTAGTATCATTGATCTTACCAACACTCTTAATGCAAAACCTAGACCAATTTATAGAAGGCATTAACTAGAGGAGGGTGAGTTATTATTTATGCCAATTAAATGGGCAGTTGTTAGAATATGAAGTTGGAAGACTGCCCAATTTCACATATTTGGTGTCATTGCTCATTCTGAGTTTTGTAAGGCACGGACTAAAAATATGTATTTCAGTTTGTGGTGACTCATCAGGAGATCCTGAGGTGTATCACAAACAATGATTTATAAGAGAATGATGAACAGGTTTTTCTGCTCCAAATACAGGAATCTGAAGAAACTATTATCCATGGGGTGATAGTTCCATGTTCCATCTCATTGAGAATATTGTACCATTCTGGAGCGGGCACATCCAGGAATTACTATATATCAGTACCACAACCTGCTTACTACATTTGACTGGTCATACGTTGTACAGGGGGTTCCCAATTTACAAACGTTCCCCGAATTATAAATGTTCGTACTTACGAACATGACCCCATACGCGGGTGTAATTTAAAAGACCTGGCATTCAAACGTTTCCTGTACTTATAAACAGCTGCTTTATATTGTCCTGCATTCTGTTCTGACTATTTGGTTCCACACAAATCTGTTTGTGAATGGACTCCAGAACAGAACCCGTTCATAACTCAGGAACTGCCTGTCGTTTTACCGAGGTCAAAGAAAACAGATTGTTTTTATTCAACCATGAAATGTGGGCATCACTAGCTTGTCCAACATAAACTGTCCAACATAGAGTGCCCATCTGTAATTGCCATGGGGAAAGTGTTGATGAGCTTCTTTCTTGAACTGTTGCATTACTTGTCAGTGTTATTAGGAGGGGGTTTCCAGGATTTTGACCCAATGAAAGTAAAGGAAGAGTAAAATAGTTCCAAACAGGGTGCTGCTGTGTAAACTATGAAGGGACCTCGAAGGTAACGATGTTCCCTTGCTGCCCTGCGTCTAGGTGGCAGAGGTCACAGATTTGGGAGATGCCATTGAAGGAAGCTCGGTGAGTTATTGCCATGTATTTTGGAGATGATACACACTGAAACCGCTCTGCATTGCTGCTGAAGAGAATGAATATGAAAGATGGGGGATGGGGTGCCAACCAAGTGGGATACTTTGACTTGGATGGCGCTGAGCTTCACTCATCCAGGCAAGTGGAGAGTATTCCATCACACTCCTAACTTATACCTTGTACCTTCGAGCTGGTGGGCAGGCCATGGAGGAACAGGTGACTTAATTACCACAGAATTCCCAATCTCATGATCTGCTCTTACAGCTACAGTACTTATATGGCTCATCCAGTTCATTTTCTTGTGAATAGTAATATCCAGGATGTTGATTATCAGATATTTAGTGATGGTCATGCCATTGAATATCAAGGAGTGATGGATTCTAAGATGGCTGATCAGTCAAATGTGTGATTGGCAGACGCTGCCACATGCAAGCCTGGTGTGCTTGAAGAGCTGGGTAGATACGTTTTTTGGAGGTTTGTGCATCACAGCATTATCTCTATATGTTACTGATTCATTCTATCAATGCTGTTGCTGTCTTGCTGAATGAACGTTCTCCTCCTTGATTAGTTACAAGCCAGTACTGATTTAATTGCTAAAAAAAAATGCGTAAGACAGCTGCATGCTAAGTTCAGAGGTAGTAGGAACTGCAGGTGCTGGAGAATCTGAGATAACAAGGTGTAGAGCTGGATGAACACAGCAGGCCAAGCAGCATCAGAGGAGCAGGAAAGCTGACGTTTCGGGCCTAGACCCTTCTTCAGAAATGGGGGAGGGGAAGGGGGTTCTGAAATAAATAGGGAGAGAGGGGGAGGTGGATAGAAGATGGATAGAGGAGAAGATAGGTGGAGAGGAGTCAGACAGGTCAAAGAGGCGGGTGTGGAGCCAGTAAAGGTGAGTGTAGTTGGGGAGTTAGGGAGGGGATAGGTCAGTCCAGGGAGGATAGACAGGTCAAGGGGGCGGGGGTGCGATAGGAGTAGACTATCCCCTCTGCCTGGCTCCATCCTGGATTGGAAATATGTTGCCTTCACTGATACCAGGTCAAAATCCTGGAATTACACTCCCAGTGGCATTGTGGGTCTACCTACAGCACGTAGACTTCAGCGATTCAAGAAGGCAGTTCACCATCACCTTCTTAAGGGCAACTAGGGATGGACAATAAATGCTGGCCAGCCAGTGACACCCATGCCCCATGAGTAAATAAAAAAACATAACTACAAATATATGACTTATAGATAAAATGCAGCTGACACAAATAAATGGGTTTTGATGGGTACTCTGCATTATGATGTCCTTAGAAATAAAAACTTATCAATTTGTCTGTGACTTTGGCTCACTAAGTATTTATTGAGCTAAGGTGACCTGGTTATAAGATGTAGGTTCCTGAGGGATGTTGATTGCTGAGGAGAGAATGTTTGCTCTTATGGCAGCATTTACAATTAGGAGTCACATTAGTTTACAAATCAGTGATTGCCCATTTATCACAGAGAGGTGGGAAAGTGTTCTTTTTCTCTCTGTGAGGGATATGACTTTTTGGAACTCTCCTTCTGAAATATTTTTTAATGCAGAGGTAGAAGGTTTCAGGTTAAGCAGGGGGATGAAAGGCTATCAGGTGGCAGGCAAGAATGTGGATTGCAGATATAATCAGAGCAGTCGCAATCTTAGATAACAAGGTGTAGAGCTGGATAAACAAAGCAGGCCAAGCAGCATCAGAGGAGCAGGAAGGCTGACGTTTCGGGCTTAGACCCTCCTAAGGTTCTAGTCCCGAGCCTTCCTGCTCCTCTGATGCTGCTTGGCCTGCTGTCTTCATCCAGCCCTACACCTTGTTATCTCAGATTCTCCAGCATCTGCAGTTCCTACTATAATCTTAATTTTATTGAAGGGTTGAGTCGCCTATTCCTGTTCTTAATTCATAAGGTCATTCATATGTATGTAAGTAATTTTTTGGTCCGCCTTTATAGAAGTTGAAGTATATATGCAAAAAATATTTGATTCAATCCATAAGCTGATGTCCTGCCAAACGCTAGGTAGATAATTAGGAGGACCTCTGGGAACTTCATCCTCCTTGATCACGTTTCACAATTTCCAAAAGAAAAAATAAATTCCTTACTGCCCCAAACCCTGTGGCCTTACTTTCTGTAGGGCACAGGTTAGCACAGCTAATGTCTGGAAATAAGTTCAAAATTATGGAATATTACTCATTTGGAGACGAGATGAGTTGCCCACCGCATTCTTCCATTACATCAGCAACTGAAAAAAAAGCACACTGCTAATCAATTATCTACAGTCAAATAGCTTGCTCAGATTTATTTCCAAATACATAACATAAAGAAGCAAAAGCGGAGACAAAGGCATTGGCAAAAAGACGAACACAGGTAATGATCAAGCTGGTCTGACTGAAAGAAGACTATGTAAACTGGAATAGCTGGAGGCCACTATCCTGGACTCAGACAAAGTGCAGGGACAAGGTTCCATGGAAAGGTTAAAATAGGAAATGGCTGGATTTAAGTATAATTCTCCCAACTGATTTTTGAGCGTGGATGTTTGGTTTTCTCCAGGCAATGAGGGTTAAATTCACACTGGAATGTGAAATTCTAGCAACTTTTCTGAGCACATGGTTCATAAAATGTTATGGTGAATGGAGAACTGAACACTGAGAGACATTCCCTGGATTGTAGCAATCTCCTTTTTTCAATATAAAAGCAAATCCATGGAACATTTAAACTTAGTCCTCATCTGCTACTGAAAAGTTCTATCAGCTGGCTGTTTTTTTATTCACATTAAAGGCCTGTCTTCTTTCTAATTTAGTGAAAAGTTAACTACTCCATTTTAAATTTATGAGTGGAATATGACCATGCTCTGAACAGTGTGGGTATTTTTTTAAAATTCATTTGTGGGATGTGGGTGTCAGTGGCTGGCCATCATTTATTGCCTGTCCCTTGTTGCCCTTGAAAAGACTTTGTAATTATTGGTACAATCGAATGGCTGACTGGTGGAATCAACTCATCACTTGCTCCCAGAGATCCATGTTGTCCATGGACAAGCTGGGCAGGAGGGCACAATCAACCATCACCCTCCGTACATATCCTCCCACCATTGTCGCGCCACATTCAGGGAGATTTCACTGCCATCTGGCATTAGGTACTGCAACGGCAGACTGGGTCGAGAGAGGACATCAGCTACACGAGTACAGATATTGCACAGGAAAGGGAACATGTACAGCAGCTACAAGGCTGCTTTCTTGCTCCCTGTGTGCATTCACCTGGTGCCTATGGACATGCCTTTAACATGCTACGCCTTCCCCTGCTGTGCCTTGCAGACAATCAAGGTTGGGAGGGATAAGTGGGGTAACAGTCTGCTCACAATGCAGGTTGCCCTGCATCTAGAGAAGAATGTGAAACAGAGTTTGCTGGATATACACCAACTCACCACTGCCCAGACAGAGCCTCATCTGTGTGACTTTCTGGAGTTTGGATGAGCAGGTTAAGATCATCAAACAACTCAGGGACTACACCAGCACCCTGAAGCATTTGGAAGCTCCTGAGAACAAGCTGAGAGAGAATCTCACTGGAGCACAGCAGTTAATGTGGCATTAAGCTTTGTCCTTGACTGGAGTCATTTTTGCTTCCAACTATCTCCCTGGATCATTTAGAATGACCTTGCAGCAAAAGAAAAATGACTGGCTTTGCTAGATGACTTGAAAATTAAAAATAAAATCCATGCAGTGCAGCAGTACACAGTCAGGGCAAGCACATCTTGTTGTACATCAGTGTGACACATCATTCTAGCACCTATATGACCTCAACGTTCACACTTACACACGGCCTCTACGTTAATCAGTCTGACTAGTCTGGAAGTCTCTAGGGAGTAGCATACAGCAAACACCATGATGGCTGCAATCAGTCGGGGGCCTGTATTGTTACTCAAAGGCAAATTCCCACATCAGTCCCAGGTTTTGGACACAGTCAAGCACCCACTTGGGCGGGGTGGGGGTTGGGGGGGAGGTGTGTGGGGGGGTGGATGTTTGAACAGGGTTATGGGGAGAGCGTGTCTCTGTGCTATAGGGATTGGGTCATGGGGAAACCATATTTCTGTGTCACAGGGACTGGGTCACAGGGAGTGGGTCATGGTCAGTGTTTTGTCTCCTTTTGGGGCCAGTCTGAGGAAGTACGGACCATCCTAGTCAGAGCTAATGTGAATCCATCAGCCAGGGCTCTGGGCAGGGGAGGGTCAACTCACAGAGGTTGACTATCATTGTCAAATCTCCTCATTTCCCAGGAACTGAATGGGAAGAGATCTACGCAATCTGGGGGAAGTGGGGAGCAGGTTATGTGTATGCAGCTTGGATGAAGAAATGGGGCATAACAAAGGCTGTTGGGCCTAAAGGAACAGGTATCTCAGAAGGAGAGCCTGATGTTGGTCTCAGCCACGAGTTAACACTGACGTTACAGGCCACTCACTGTCATTCCAATTGTGGAGCACGTGGATAGCACTCAATGTTGAGGAATCTGGTCAGATAGAATGATAACCAAACTGTGTAGCTGTTTTGCAGCCATCGCTCATACATGGCCTTCATAAATTGCTCTCCCCCTCCCTCTCCCTCTCCCTCTGTCACTGCACTCCCCTGGTCCTCAAAAACACCAAAAGGCAGCGCTCTGTCTAAGCAATATGGGGAGGAAGGGGAGTACGGGGGAAGTGGGGGAGGCACACCGATGATCTGCACATAGTAATTCACATCAGGACCGCTTACAACATTAACTTTCCGTTCTAGAACATGCTACTGTACACAGACCTCAGAGAAACACACAGCCAGGAGGGAAATCTGAGGGAACACTGCTGGAGGGAGCCCACTCCATTAATGGATGTATAAAAACAAGCAACTGCTAGAGAAACCACAATCCATTCAGAAGAAGGGTCACTGGAGCCAAAACATTAACTCTCCCTCTCCTCACAGATGCTGCCAGACTTGCTGAGTTTCTCCAGCAATTTTTGTTTCAGTTTCTGATTTCTAGCATCTACAGTTCTTGGTTTTAATTTACAACAGTAGTTTAGAGTTGGTCAGGTGAACCCAGGGGCATTTGGGTCTGGGTGGTTGGGCCAGACATTCAGAAGGCCTTCTTGCCTGGCCTTTCGAAAGATCTGAGGGGAGCAGTGGTGGTGGAGGACCTGGCCTCGCCTGCAGTGAAGATTTTCACAGGGGCCTGTGTGTGATTTCCCCTTCACTAGGTGTTTCATGGTAGCACCCTATCTCCTTGTGAAGATGCTGCACCTGGCTAGGCTTATGGCACCACCCCACTCTTGCCCTGCCTTCGGTGCTCAGGACCAATTTTATTTTTCCTTTATTGATTCACAGGACGAGGGCATCACTGACCAGGCAGCATTTATTGCCCATGCCTAATTGCCCAGAGGGCAGTTAAGAGTTAACCACATTGCTGTGGGTCTGGAGTCCCATGTAGGCCAGGCCAGGTAAGGATGGCAGTTTCCTTCCCTATAGGACATTAGTGAACCAGATGGGTTTTTCCAACAATCAACAATGGATTCATGGTCATCGTTAGATTCTTAATTCCAGATATTTATTGAATTTAAATTTTACCATCCGCTGTGGTGGGATTCAAACCCTGTTCCCCAGAACATTATTTGGCCTCGGGATTAACAATCCGGCAATAATATCACTAGGCCATTTCCTCCCCATAACCAATGTGTGGAGTATAGATGTTATTGACTATTCCTCAGTCCTAGAGAGTTCAGCTTGTAGCTGCCAACACACCTGCAGATGGGCAGCGGGCTCTGAAAGATGGCATATTCCCAAAGGATGCTGGTCTAATGGAGGACATTGCTGCTGAGCAGAGAGTTTCTCCATGAACAGTGCGCGATAAGATGGGGCTGGAGCTCATACAAAAATTAAAATGTCAAGGAAGCTCCCTTGGTCTCACACACAAACCCCAACGCAACTCACACTTAACCAAAAATTGGTAAGATTCAGCCCTATGTTTTGTAGGATCATCAAAAAGCAACAAAAACAGAAATCCCTCACTGCTACCTTTTACATATGCTTTTATGTCATTTGCTCTAATCTATTGAGAGCATGACCTGAACTCCCAACCCATTCGGCCACCTTTATTTCAATCATTACCCTAAGCATTACTTTGTTATAAAACAAAAGTGATATTGTTCTCCATTAGTAATGAACTGTCCAATAGATCTTCTCCCTGTTGATCATTGATGGATCTTACAGATTTTAAATTATTTATCTATTATTACATGCTGTTTGATTAATCCTTATCATAATTTTCCAGATTTTAAATTCCAACACATCATTAAATCTAAACTCCAATTTTATTCCTAACAAAATATTATCCAACTTCTTCCTTCTGAACTGAGTGAGTTAGCTGGTTAGTCAGTTTGCTGGATGGTTTGTGTTCAGCTTCTGTCCTGGCTGAAGTCACCATGAATGTCACATCTTCTCAACCTTACCCTTTAGCTGAGGTTGACGTAGTTCAAGTGAAATTCACTGCCCTAATCATCTCTCTCTCTTTAGTAAGAGAGCAGCTTATGACCCTCTGGGACGAGCGTGACTTTGACTCTCTCTTCTCTCCTGATGTTACTGATTCATTCTGGAATTTCAGTTGGGAAGCTTTGACAAAATCTGGAGCAATAGTTGGACATTGCTGGATGCACGGATTTGGGTAGAAGTAATTTGCCTTCTTGTTTGGTCACACAATGCTGCATCATGGAGGAGTTTTAAAGGAAAAAGAAAAAGTAATTAAGACAATCTTTAAAAACTGAAGAAGCAAATGATTGAATTCTATAAGATGCAGCACTAAATTACATGTCTCAGTATAGGTGCTAGAGGCACATGATGCAGTTAAACATTAGGTCGGATGTGTTTTTATGCCCCATAGCTGTCGCAGACAATTACAGATAAGAGTTATGCTTCATCTCCAGCATTCTGCTTCATGCTTTCCATGTTGTGAGTTTAAGCTTCAAAAATGTCTGCTGACATAGATCTGTGTTGCCACAACAGTCAGTCCTGTGCTATCTACTTTCTGATCCTACAGGGCTTTAGGGGAGTTAGAGTAAAGGTGGAAGGGGTCTGTGAATGGGGAAAGAACATGCAACTCCGTAACTTCCATCAGATCTTTTCAAGTAGAAAGAACTGTGAAACATGCACAAACACATGCACAATAGAATCGCCTTCACAATCCTTGAAACCAGGACTCAACAACCAAACTCCACTGGTCAACAATGACAAGTCTGGCAGACCTTAATTGGGCCCAAAGTATGAATATATGCTGCTTCCTTCTTATATAATTGCTGAACATGTGGGCTTTAGTTCACTGAATTGAGTTGGTGATATTGCTTATAATGATTTAATAACATATTCAGAAATGAAGGATGAAGATAAAGTCACTTCAGTCTTATTAGACAGTAGGGCTGCTCTCTTATTAGAGAGAGATAGCTGGTGGTGGTTTAACCTGAGGAATACAATGCCTCAGGAAAGGGGAGAGGTTGGGAAAGACAGTCCTTCATGGTAACCTCAGCGAGTGTGCATCGCAAACCTGCTTTCCAGTCAATTGAGTAATAAGTCAAAACAAAAAGTGGGCACCCAAATTCCTAATTTGGGAAAGGGCATAATTTAAGCTTTGCAACGGAAATTCAGTTCAGCTTTGAGGAACTGCTAATGAAACAACCATTACCTCCATCTCCATTCTCCCATCTCCCAGCAGCAGTCAGATCTTAGGACAGTTCCAACCTATCCATGCTGACCAAATATCCTAAATTAATCTAGTCCCATTTGCTAGCATTTGGCCCATATCCCTATAAACCCTTCCTATTCATGTACCCATCCAAATGCCTTTTAAACATTGGCATTGTACCAGCCTCCACCACTTACTCTGGCATCTCATTCTGTACACATACCCACCCTCTATTAAAATTTGTCTCTTAGGTCCCTTTTAAATCTATCCCCTCTCAGCTTACACCTATGCCCACTGGTTTTGTATTCCTCTACCCTGGGGAACAGACCTTGGATATTCACCTTATCTGTGCACTCACGATATTATGTGTTCTAAAAAGATTTATATCTCTTAAATAAACAGTTTCTAAGATTTAAATTGGACTTTAAATGTAAGATTCCATGTCTATGGAAAGTGTGGTATAAAGCAAAAATGCAATGTTGAGTTTTTAGGTGTGTTAACATGTTAAAATGGGGCATTAGATTTCTGTCGTTTAATGTACTAGCTGCCCGAAAAGCAGTGTTTAGGCAGTGTTGATTTAACTGGTTTGTTATAATAAAAACATTTAAAATGTAAAATCTGTGCGATTGTTTACAAAGGTCACTGGGAATTGAGATCTCTTTTTTTTTAAAGTTATTGGTTTCTCTGTGATCATTACAAACAAGGAGAGCACCACCTGGAAATGCACCAGCCAGCACTTGGAATTTCGTTGGATGATACATCTTTACTTGATACAAAAATAATTGATTCATTTAATGGTGTTGTGAGTGACTCTTTCATGACTCATGTGTTTATTTCTGCAATTAGATAGAGAGGGTAATATTGACAGAAGGTCTTGGACTTAATGTTTTTGTGTGAGCTGTGTGCCAATGAGACGGTTGGGAATGTTCCTAACATGCTTATTACTACCTTGTGGTCTGGATGCATTGTCTGACCACTGTTGTTTTGCCTCCTTCTCTTCCTTTAAGGTGACAGATTGCTTATTGTGAGCCTTCAATTCCAACCCTACTTCCTTCTGGAACACCAGATTATGCAATGTCCTGGAATCTCCCTGAAGGGCTATAATTGCAAGGCTTCCCCAGATATGAAGAGGCAACTAAACCTCATCTTCAAAAGGTCAATGCACAACGCTCAACAGTGGTCCTTGCAGTGATGTGGCGGCAGTGGTGTTGAGGCTACACAACAAACCTTGGTCTCAGTAGGTGACCCCTTCCCCCTGGTATCCAGCCAAGACAGTGTTCAGCTAATCTGAATGGTGTGGGCATTTGAGAGTGCCTAAGGATGAATGCATTATGGCAGTCTCCTGGAGATCTCATGTAAGCTTGCAAGATTGGCTTACAGTTGTAGCAGAAAATGTAAATATTTAGTAACTGGAACTCCTCACCGTTCACAAATGCCTGCCTGCTCTGATGATGCCTTGATTACTTTATTCTGTGCTTTTGGCTGATACTACTGTGACCATAATTGGCCATATGTCCAGATTGTATCAAATCTGCTGCTTTTTGCTGTGGCTTTTCATCACATCACTTACTGTTTCATGGTCTTGAGAGGCTATGTTTGGCTTGAGATTGCACTTTAAACCTGGAACATCCATTTTCAACCTGTTTGCCATTAACAATTCAGCTTGCAAGAACCCATTATTCAATGGTATTGGTCTGTAGCTGACTAGGATTAGTTCTCTGTCTGCATTCTTAAGCATCAGTGACATTACAGTCTTGACTGCCTTCTCTGCTTTTCTATTTGACTGAAAGTGGTGTGGAGAACTTGTCACCAGTCCATAGCTGCCTCTGAAGTGAACCTTCTGAATTCCTCTTTCTTTAATTGAGGTCTGCTGTCTAATAGCTTCTCAGGGAATTCATGTTTTGCAAAGATTCTTTTCAGTGCCCTGATCACTGAGTCTGCTGTGGTTGAATTAAGTCTTGACACTCCAATCCAGTCTACTAGGACTAAATGCATTTTTGTCTTGAAGATGAACAAATGGGAAGATTGCTAGTCTTTCCCATGGGCTTGAGGAAATTCCTGGCTCTATAGGCACTCGACTATTTATGGCACACATAGAGGATTAGGTTTTGCTGTACCATCTATGTGTTTTGAAATACCTGGGAACCATAATAACTATTGAACCATTCCTCTGCGCTGTGCGGTTCTCCCCTCAGGGATCTTCTCTAGAATTTCGTATCTCCTTGCGACCCCTTATATGCTGTCTGTCCAATAGCTGATAATGTGCCAGGACTTTAGCACTGAGTCAGGCATTTCCAGATCTCTCACTCGCAGCTTTGTTGTGGGCCCTCCTTTCTGAATGGCTGTGGTAACGGTAAAATCTCTGAGGAGATGCCATTCCTAAGGAGTATTGTGCTGTAGTGACCTGGGTAAATATTGGGGTTTTCCCTTCTTTCTGTCAAAATGCCCCATTTCGGTACATGTGTTCTGCAGAGTATTGCTGGTTTGTGGGCTGCCTTTGAAGTCCTCTGAAGTATATTCCCTGCCCAAACTCCTTCCCTATTAGTCTGTGTTCAAAATCTTCTTAGCATCTTTTTCCTGGGCTTCAGTATCTTTCTACTCAAAGTTTTCCAAGGTTCTGCACTGCCTGCAGGGTCTTCACTTTTCAACTGTGTCCTATGGACTCTGATCGAACTTTAGATCCTAACTTTGGAGATTTCCCTAGTTACCACATTCTTTTTACTATGTCTTGGGCATATACTCCTACTAGCATGGTTAGATACTTTTCCTTAGTATTCCTGGGCTGTAAGTGTCTAAAAGTAAACTCTGGCTCCTTATTCTTAAGGAAGGTTCTTTTACTCATAATGTACTGTAACACTCTTTCAGTTACATCTGAATATCGCAGATTACTAAATAACGCTCTTTAGTGCCAAGTCTGAGACCTCTCTCTTGATCTGATTCTTCTTATCTGACAACCGCTCCCATTCCTTCATCACCATCATGTCATCAGTTGCATCATCATTTGCACATTCCATTATACAATATTTATGACAACGCAGTTGACCACCTCGTGCAAAAAGCATAGTAGAGCTTGAAACAGAGGAAGTTTAGTCCCCTTAGCAACCCTACTTGCTCAGTCCAGTTGTAATTTAGTCAGTCATGGCCTCTACCCAAACATGAGAAAACCAAACAACAACGTGGAAAATGACTTAATTCATAAACAGAATAGATCATTTTTTTCTCTAATTATTTGTCTTCATTGAAAACAAGTTTCTGGAATAATCATTCCAATTAAAAACCAAAAGAACTGTGGATGCTGTAAATCAGAGACAAAAACAGAAATTGCTGGGAAAGCTCAGCAGGTCTGGCAACATTTGTGGAGAGAAATAAAAGTTAACATTTTGGGTCGAATGACCCCTCATCATTTCTGTTCTTCACACATAAGAATAGATATATCACCTCACGAATATTAGTGAGGAATTTGAACCTGCCCAGGTACTAAAATACCTGTAACCTTCAATGTCACTTTCCCTGAACTATTTCCAGTACATAATCTATCAATATGCCTAAACTTGCAATTAATTTTTCTTTCAGGTCTTTCCATGGTAAATGGATCATGTGAACCACATGCTAAACTTCCAACAAAAATGATATAATGCCCGGTAATTACTTTCTTGCACCAAATATTTAGAGCAAAGTTGTTTTGTTGCATTTATCAAACCAGCATCACAGATACTAGCCTAGAAATGGGTTGACATTATTGATTGGATTTATTGTTGCATGTACCTAAGTCCAGTGAGAAGCTTTGTTTGTGAGCAATACAGGCAGATCATAGTAAGTAAGGACATACAGATCGTAGGGTGAAAAAAAACTGGGACAGAGTAAGGCATATAGGTTACACTGCACAGGACAGGCGCTAGACAAGGTCAACATCAATATTATTGACATTCTCATTTTATGGGGGTGGGGATGCTAAAGGGACACCAGAGTATTCAATGATGTAAAGTGAGTGTATGCCCATTCTAGGCTGAAAGTTTACCTCCAGTC